TTGAATTGTGACTGCAGTGAGCTGGACTGTGGGGGAAGCGAAAAAAGGGCTCCCTGTCCAGTTTGTATTATTGTATTGTATTTTTGTATTGTATTATTGTACACGGCCAGTCTGCAGGCATCACAACCTGAGTCTAAATCACAGCTTTGTCTGGGAAAACATGCCAGCTGCATCCACAGCAGAGAGGCCCAGCAGCTCTCTAACAGCTTGTCCTGACAAACTAACAGTCATAGAATGGCTTGGATTGCAGCCTTAAAGTTTGAACCCCCTACCATTGTCAGGGTTGCAGTTCACCAGGTCAGCTGCTCAGGGCCCCATCCAACCTGCCTTGAATGCTTTCAAGAACATCCACTTCTCTGGGCAGCCTGTGCCAGCACCTCACAGCCCTATGAGTAAAGAATTTCTACCTAACACCTGACCTAAATTTCCCCTCCTTCATTTTAAAACCATCAGTCCTTGTCCTAACAATACAGGCCTCAGTAAAAAAGTCTCTCCTCTCCTACATTATAAGCCCCTTTAAGAATTGAAAGACTGCAAAGCAATCTCCCCAGAGACTTCTCTTCTCCAGGCTAACAGTGAAGATATAACAATAAATGGTGACATCTCAAAAGGAAGAATTAAGGAACAATGTCAAAACGCAGTTGCTCTCTGCTGGTTTCAGCTGCTGCTCTGACAAGTTCAGAAAGTCACACGCTCTGCTAAATGTCCATCCTCCTGCCTGCAGTGGTGGAACACCCGCGGAGGTGTCCGTGCCACCCGAGGCAATTGGGCTGTGCTCTGGCAAACAGGGCTTCTGACATCAGCACCTGAGTAGGGTGATTCCTTGCTCAAATTTATTTGCATTTCCTTGTCCACTGGTTAATCTGGCTGCCAAACATCTGCAGTCAGCTTTGCTGAGAAGCTAATTACAGGGACAGCCCTCCGAAGTACAGCTGGCACTGGGGGGCCATGCTTGTCTCATCACCTCCTGCCTGAGAGCTGGAGGGAATTTGTCTGCTGGGAAGCCATTCGGGAAGAAACCTGACTGTGAGAGGCAATCTTTTCCCGAATTCACCTCTAAAAGCCCTTTCTGTTTTATGTGCCTTTCACCATGCTTTATTTCTGCCTGGTCAGTGCAGTTTTTTCACGTTTCTGCCTGGTTGTGTTTTTTCCCAATTCTTTGGGAGGTTTACTTGGAACTGGAAAAAATCACTGTGGTTTTCTTGGTTTAATTGTGGCTTACCTTATCACTCAGGTTGGAGATCTGGCACTTCTGCAGAGTCCCTTACTGTGGTGCTGGAAGGGTGCAGAGGACCTGCAAGTGGGATTGGGATTCCTCAGGGCTAGTGGGGTCCTAGCTGCCGATAACTGGGCTGCTTATTCTCTGTAGTTCACTGACTTTGAGGTTTTAAGGTTGTTGAATTTGTTTAATCTAACAGCAAAGATTGGAGCATTTCCTTGAATTGGTTTCCACTCTGGGTTCAGTAGGTGGGGATGGACCAAGGTGTTCATTTCTGTGGGAGGAAGAGAGGTGAAGGTGGAGTCTGATCTTAGTTTAAAAATTGCCAGTACTGGAGCTTTGACCATACCTATTGGAGGACTTTTCCATCTGTTAATTCACTGCAGCATTGAAAAGTGATATCTTTGGTCCTGGTTTGTTTTCTGTCAAGCTTCAACTTTCAACCTTTGGTCTTGCTTGCCTTTGTCTGGTAGGCTGGAGAGCACTCTTACTGACAGGTACTTACAGGTTATGAGGTACCTTTTAACTTTTCCTTTGATTGACTTCCCTGAGCTCCTTGGTACAAGCCTGGTTTTGTTCTTGCAACTTTTCTCTGAACTCTCTCCAGTTTTTCCAGAATTATTCTTGAAGTGTGGGTATAAGTATAAAACCTTGCACTCCACTGACTGCCAACCCGTGGCCCAAAGATAACAGGGCCTCTCTGCTGGTACGTGACATCCATCATTTGTGCATCCAAGCGTTGTGGACCTGCCTGGTGAGCTCATGTTGGGCTAATTACGCCTCTTGCCTCAGCCAGTCCCGTAGGTCTCACACGTTTGAAAAGTTTCCATATAGCCATTTCTTTAATACACTAAGCACCTCATTAGTCTTTTTGATTTTTTTTTCCCCTGATTTGTAATCTAAAATAAGTTCTAGTCCAGCCTTTCTCGCTGTACCAGCCTCATGTCAAAAAACATATATGGCTGAGAGTTGCTGGTATGTCTTTTACAAAGCAGAGGGAAGGTAGTTGGTTAACAAGAGGGATTTCACAGAGTTATATCACCAGGAGACCACACTGGTGCAGAGGAAGCCATGTACCAATGACCCCTAGAGTCCAGTGATTTCTTTTACCACATCATCTCTGGTTGAATCACTTTATCTTATGAAAATTAACCATAGAGAGGGTTAGCCTGCCAGCCCCTTGCCGGCGTAATCCATCATTGCAGCACCAGGCTCCTTGCCTTGGAGTCATGGACTGACAGCCCCACTGAGGGTGCTCAGTCAGTGCTAGTTTATTTCTAGGCATTAGACACAATGGGCTTACAGTCTTTCCAATTGGCATGCTTTTATTATCAGTTTTATTTTGTTTCTTACGTATAGTAACTCAGTGGAAACAAGGGTGTTGATCTGATGAGAAATCTGGAAAGCTTTTTGGAAATAATATCCAGATGTTTCCTTAGCACATCTGCTAAGTTGGTTGAAGACAGTGCATTTAGCATCCCTGTCGTTGCATTTTACTACCTGCTGCTGTGTGTGATGCTAGTCTATTAGTAATGAAGGAATGGAAGAGGCAGCGGTTCAGACAGCCACGTGCTGAGGAAACTGGGGTGAGGAAGGCAGTACAGATCAGAGCACAAATTATTCTTGCTTTTAGCATTCGGGTTGCATGTTTGTAGGTCTTGCATGTAAGTGTTGCCTGTTGTAAGCACTGTGGCCCGTGGATTTGCTTGGTTATGAGTGACTGTCTACCTTTTGCAGCTCAGCAATGTTTGTAGAGTGTCTGTCTGAAGTGGCAGTACTTACTTCACTTCAGACAGGGCAAGCCCCGCTTTCGTAGATATCCTCATCAGTCTCCTTATTTGTGGGAAATTCTTTGGCTCCCTGGCTTGTATCTGTGTTTAGCACTTCAGCACTGCATTGCTCATACACTTGCCAGGATTGTCAGCATGCGCTGTACCCCCTGGGGAGAGTCGACTGCAGGACAGCTCAGCTGCCCCTGGCTGGGGTTCCTGCAGGGGTACTGCTGGAAGCTGTGCTTTCCATGTCACTGGGTCAGCTCTGTGCCCTGCTGACAGGAGTATTCCTGGCAGCTGGAGGATAGCACGCCATTATTCCAGATGCCCTAAGCCATACAGTCTCCTTATGGGCTCCACATTCCAAACTCTGGATTTACAGTCACATTTCTTTTGATATACACCCAGCCTTAGTATTCATTGAATCTCCTCACACCGCATTGCTCCTACTTCCCTTTCGCTGCTTTCCTTAAAGACTTGTAGATAATTTTCAGTGTTACAGCACGTCTTCAGAGCAGACCAGCTTGAGGAGCTCATCAAAAAGCACAGATGTAGACACCCAGTCTTGAAAAGTGCACAGCAGCTCGAATGTTTGAATAATAGAGAATCTCCATCACTCAGAATTAAGTTAGTGTGTCATCTCCTTCCAGGGATGGTGAGGTGACACTGGAGATTGTCCAAGTTAAAGTGGAAGAAGAAGGTGGAAGCTTGTGGTTGATGTGTAACAAACTCTTCAGTGAGGAGGAGACGTGCATGTGGAAGATGCATGCGAGATGGATGGCCTGAAGGTCCGCATTTCTTTCTATAATGCGTGACACAGCATCGTGACCTGGCCAAGGATGGGCCATCTGGTGCTTTTGGTTACATGGCAGGAACCCTGGTTCAGTGATTCATAGGATGGAGACAAATGCTAGGAATATTTTCATAAAGCTTTTTCTAGCTCCTCTCTTCCTAGTTGTGATCCCTGTGATCCTAATAAGTGCTAGAGCTGTTTACTTCCAGCACACTAGTCATAGAATCGTAGAACCAAAGAGTGGTTTGGGTTGGAAGGGACCTCACCTAGTTTCAGCCCTGTTTCATTTTCCACTGGATCGAGTTACCCAAAGCCCCATCCAATCTGGCCTTGAATGCCTTCAGGGATGGGGCATCCACAGCTTCTGTAGCAGTACCTCACCGCTGTCTTAGTACAGAGTTTCATCCTAACATTTAATCTGTATCTCTTCTCTTAGTTTAAAACTGTTGTCCCTTGTCCTAGCACTATCAGAGCATGTAAAAAGTTGGTTTCCTTCCTGCTTATAAGCTCTCTTTAAATTCTGAAGGAACTTAATGCCACAGTGAGGTCTCCTGGAGCCCTGTCTTCGCCAGGCTGAACAAACCCAGCTCCTTTAGCCTGTCCTCATAGGAGAGGTGCTCCAGCCCTCTGATCATCCCTGTGGCTCTCCTCTGGACCTGCTCCAGCAGCCTCACATTTTTTTGGGAAAGCTTTAGTGATCTTTTAGAGAAGGTTGGCTACTGATTTGTTCATTTGAATTTATGTATATTTTGTTTTGTGTTTGAAGTGACTGTTTCTAATGCAAGTTACAGTGAAAAATGTAGAAGTTTATAACAGCCAAGGCAAAATTTCCAACTGTTGAAACAAAGCACTTCCTATCAAAATTATTTTGTGTTTTAGCAACCTTCGGAATTTCAAAGTTTTTGTTGTTTTTTTTTTTTCTCACTCATTTAAAGTAGAAGAAAAAAACCAAAATCTTGAAACCCTGCAAAGATTATGGAATTATTCTGTTGTTTTTTTTCCAGCTGTATTTGACATCTCATGTTCAGCTCTGTTGGTTGAATGTGTGAGCAAGAACAAGGTGTTCTACTCTCAGTGCTGTAAGGTCAGGACATCCCTTGAAGGTGGACCAAACATTACACTTGTATGGGAGTAAACATTCCAGCTCTTTTAATACTAAGAAAAAAAAATTGTGTGAATCCCGAAAGTAGATATTAAAATTGTGTTTTCTTTGTAGGTTCATCCACTATTTGGATTATGAAGTTTGATGGGCTGTGATTTGGCTCAGATTTACATTATTTGGAAAAATATTCTGAACTCTCCAGACAGCCCCTGCCACAGACTTTCAGAACTGGCTGGTGTTAAGTGTTTATTTCCAGTCACACCAGGAGAGGGGATGGAGTTGGATACTTTCTAGAAGAAGTAAAAATCAATACTGTGTTGCTGTCAGAAGTGCTTAAAGGGAGAAAAGCCTGGAGTGTAGCTCTCATTTTGGAGAGATTGATTTTTACTCAGAAGATTGTACAAGATACAGGAGGAAAGAGAAGATGTGATCCTGCAGACCTGCATCCTCACCTCTGCAGTGGGACTGAGGCTTCAAAAGGTAGAATCCCAAAACAGCCAAATGTTTTCCAAATGTTGAAGTAATGGGCTTTATTGCACTGCTTCATCCAAAGCCTCATAAGGAGAAGTACTGAGCTGGGAAAAGTAGAGCACAGCTACCTGTTTTGATTCACCAGTTCTGGAGGATTGAAAAATGTTGGTTACAGGAAAGGAAGTTGATACTGCTGCAAACATTGCTCCTCACAAACACACGCGTCTCCTTGTTTTGTGCTCTGGAGTCCAGAGTGCTGAGATGGCTCCTTAGAGGCATCCTTAGAGGTGGCTGAGATTGCAGTGGGGCCTTGGGCTTGCTATGTCCTGCTGGCAGAGTTCTATGGCTGGGTGGACACATGACTCCTCTGATGTGCTTTAGGTGGTCCAACTGGTTCATGTGAAGGCTGTGAAGTAGTAAGGATGGAAAGACAGTAAGGCTCCAAGTGACAATGTAACACACAAAATAAGAAAAAGATGAATCATGCTTTTTATCAGACTCATCCTTTGAGGTTGCTGTATGTCCTTTGAGGTGATGTTGCAGTCAAAGCCTTGTCAGCAAGTGCATATAGACGTGTATCACTGTGTTAATATTGTCTGATTCGATGGGGATGAAAGATGTTGGATTGAACCTCCCCTGAGATGACAACCTAATTCTTGGCAGATCAGTTTCCCCACTGCCCTTCACCACTGCGTCTCAGAACTGAGCTGGAAGGACCATCTTTTAGTATTAGTGAGAAATTGTTAATCTTCGTGACTCAGTCTCTGGCTTAACTGCTGATAATTCTAGTGAGAATGGTGATGATTGGTAGATCTGGTGATGGGAAGATACTGCTGGTCAAGAGACAACATTGATTTCATATTAATGAATAGGCTATCTGTGACCAAGCGTGTCACAGATAGCCTCTATATTTCTGCAGCTGCTGGACACTTTGAAAGTCTAGGGCCACTCAATTCCTTGGAGAACCAACTTGGAATGTTTGCCATTGAACTGCTAGTTTCTGTTTTGGAATGGAGGTTCACATGTTAATCTTCAGTTTGAGAGTGAAAATCCCCCAGTTGAAGGTAATGATGGGGGAGTACATTACATGTCGAGTAACAGCCGCACTGATAAAAATGAGAGGGAATAGAAATGGTTGTACAGAATGAAACCATTCAGTTTGTTATCTCAGTGTAGGTTAGGCAGCCAAGCCTGGCAATGCCTGCCCAGTATTGTGTTCTGCACATTAGCCCAAGTCACCAAATCATAGGTGCTAAATTGAAGTGGGAGATGGTAAATACTGACTGCATCAGTAGTGCTGCATGCCATAAATTTTAAACTTCTCTAACATCCAGGGTATATCTCCTGAAACTGGAGTTCAGCCCCTGGTTCTACTGGTGCTATGTAGTTGTCACTTAACTGCTCATCTTCCTCCTTGCTCAGTAATTACTGACATTTCATACAGAGCACCCAGCATGTCTGTGGGGTGCTCATGTTCCTGTGTAATGAGTAGGACTTAATGAGGGGAACAAATCTTAGAAAATCCCACACAGATCCACATTCATTGGTCATAGTACTGGTGTCTGTGATAGATTGATGCTCAGAAGAGAGACAGGGATGCTTTGGACAGCATAGATGAGCCTCTTGTATCTCTCAGGAGCCTCTTTCAAGTCTCCAAAGAAGAACATAGTGTAATTTGGCACTTATTATTTCATTGCATCAGCTTTTCTGAGCCTGGAAGTGCTCTTAGCACAAGCAAATAAATTACCCGTCTCATTTTGCTCCGTGCTCTGCAGCCAGCCATATGTTTGAGCCTCATAGAGATTCTTATCTCACAGGCTAAAATTACTCAATGGAGGATGACATTTCTTATCAAGGGCTTTGCTGAATCAGAGAGTGGCTCTGGCACCCAGCTCAGAGACACCGCTCCTTCTTGTCCCATCCTGGCAATAAATGGATTTGTGTCTGTAGGTCAGAGGAGCTTGCGTCAAGATTCGGTTGCAGATGGATACTCTGAGAACTGTCTGTGCCTGGAAGGTTGCAAACAGCCATCTCCTTCTACCAGAAGCTTTTCTCCATACTTAAAGCTTGCATACAGCTTTGTTTCTCCATCCTTCTTCCTTCTAATTAATAGTTATTTTCCTTCTTCTTTTTCTCTCTTGTGTTGCTTAGTATCTGTTAGCTGCCAATGATTCAGGGTATTCACCAGCTGTGTAGCAGGAAGAAACTTGTACTCTCCCTTTACCCATTACCTTTAAATGGGGGAATTTCACTCTCAAACTGAAGGTTAGCATGTGAATTTTCATTCTAGAACAGAAACTTACACTTCCCTGTGGCTTCTTCTTTTACAGCATCTTCCCTCCAGCTTTTCTATGCCTGGTCCAAGGAAGTTTTACCCCTTGGAACCTTCCTGGGCAGTAAATGAAACCACGCATTACTGACAAGGACCATTTAAATGTTCTCTGTGGATTTTTTCTCCCAAGTGGTCTCACACTATGGATAACTCATGGGCTGATTTGAAGACATTTCTGTGTCCTGTCTCCCACCCTCCCACTTTGTGTCCTGCACTCAGTCACAGCAAGCAGCATGGAAGTCCCAGCTCCTTTGTGCCATCACCTGCTGACTGGCTTGCCTTTTACACAGAGTTCCTTTCTACTCTGTTTTTCTTGCTGTATCATGGTGAGTCACACTGGCCCCACACATAGTCCTCGGCCAGGGCTGTCACTTCTTGGCCACATGCCACTGGTTAAGCAATGATGTGATGCCTGTTCCCTGAGATCACTGTTGGACAGAGGGCTTTGTGGTGGTGGATGGCCATCTGGCCCTTGGACTTTGCTCTGGGTCAGGTCCACGCAGTGCAGTCAGGTGTTGCCCTATTACCTGACATCCTGTGGCATGCCATGGTTAGAATCCTAGAATCACAGAATATCCTGAGCTGGAAGGGATGCTGTGACTCATGATCATCGAGTCCAGCTCTTGGCTCCATAGGGAACCACCCAGAAATGAAGCCTTATGTCTGAAAGCATTATCCAAATATTTCTTGAACTTTGGCACCTTGGGTCTGTGCCCACCGCCCTGTGCAGCCCGTTCCATGCCCACCACCCCCTGGTGCAGACCCTGTCCCTGACCCCCACCTGAACGCAGCTCCATGCCGTTCCCTGGGCCCTGTCGCTGTCACACAGAGCAGATCAGAGCTCAGTGCTGCCCTCCACTCCCTGTGAGGAGCTGCAGCTGCCATCAGGCCTCCCCTCAGCTCCTCTGCTCTGCGCTGAGCGCACCCAGGGACCGCAGCTCCTCCCCATACGTCTTGCCCTTCATACCCTTCACCATTTTCGTAGTCGTCTTTGGATACTGCCTAATTTTATGTCCTTATATTGTGGCACCCAAACCTACATCTGGTTCTCAAGGTGCAGCCACACAGCTCAGAGCGGAGTGGGACAACCCCTTCCCTCAGCCGGTTGGCAGTGCTGGGCCTGGTGCACCCCAGGACATGGTGGAGGAGTTGGGTCTCATGCCCCTGTGGGTCTGCCTCAGGTGGAGGTGATGGGCCATCATGGAAAGCACTGTGCTCAGGGAGAGGTAACCCACCAGCACAGTCAGCCCAATGGTGGTTGAGTCAGTCTGGCAGCTCCCCAGAGTCACTGGTTGCGGGCGGCAGAGCATGGTGGGATGTGGGATGGAGCTGTGCTGGAGTCAATCTTCTGCTTTGGTGTTGCAGAAGTAACTTCACAGAGTGGTCGGACCCCAGTACAGGAAATACTTGTGTGCTGAGCGCATCACCAGCCAACTGTTGCCCTCTGCTTCTGGGAGGCGAAGGCAGGAAGATTGAATTTCTATTGCAAGGTCCTCAGTCTTCAAAATCAGCATGATTTTTTTTTTAATATGTGATCTTTGAATTATCCTTTAATGTGTCTTTCATTGGGGTCTGCAGAATGATTAGTTTCCTTTGAAAACCTTAGTTTTAAATAGTTTTAAAGAGGGAAGCGTGCCAGTGATGCTGTGCAATGGCAGAGGACGCATGCAGAAGGCAGTAATTCCAGGCAAAAGGAATGAGGAGTTAAAGCAAATGCAGTTTATGTAAAGTTATCATGAAGAAATTCAGCCTGGGAAGGACACCGAGCAGCAAAACAGCTTTCCAAAGAGAAACTGAGCATCACTGATTTGCTAGTGTGACATAGGGATGGATCCAGCTCTCTTCCCTGGGGAAGGACTAGTGCATCTTTTCCATCTCTAACATCTCCAATTCCTCATATACGATGTAAATAATTTATAAGATTGAAACTAAATCACTGACTGTCTGTGCAGAAGGCAGACCACAGCCCACAGCCAGAGGTGTGGGGGAACTGCAGTGTGCCAGGTGACCAGTGCCTTCAGGCTGGATTGGTGCCTGAGCTTTACTGAAGTCAACCAACTATCTTATTCTTCCTTCCAGCCTTGATCTTTTCTTCTTTTTTCCATATTTTATTTCCCATTCTCCCCCACCCTTCTTACTTTCCCTTCTGTTTTTCTCCTTTCTCCAAGTTTGCTGCTGTGTTCTGCTTTTGAAACATTCACAGCTCTTTCTGCTGGGCAGTACAAGTGTTCTCTGTAATGTGAGCCACAGCTATTTTGACTGTGTAGAAACCCAGCAGTGAGTGCTGTCACCACTGTAAAGGCCTGGTTTCAGCCTGGAAGTGAACAATCACCTGCAAGTGTAGAAGAGGAAAAAAAGCTGCAGAAAGTGTGAGGAGGGGTGGCTTCAGGTTGCAATGGGTGGGAAGCTGTTTCTCTGTATATTAGTATCCAGGGAGTACAAAACTCATCTGGAAGTGGTGGGTCATGGCCTAGAGAGAGCTGACCTTCGTGCAGCTTTCAACCAGGATTGCTGCTCAGGTGTTTTGCAGAGAGCTGCAGAAAGCAGAGCCAAATCTTTCTGGTTCTGCTGCTCCAGTGCTTTGTAGACTTCTCAACTGGAGCAGGAGCTCCAGAGGATTGGGGAAAAACAAAATACAGGATCAATCTACAACACTGAAGTGTGTACAAGTGTCCTT